ACATCTTAGTACCAAGCCTGCCTTGTCGGCTTGGTACCCCTTGGTGTCTTGGTATCAAGTCCTGCCTTGCTGGCTTGGTACCATGTTGGCTCTATACTTAGCCAAATTTCATGTCTTGATACCAAGCCTTCCTTGCCGTCTTGGTACCCTCTTGGCCCCATACTTAGCCAATTTTGGTGTGTTTCGGTACCAAGTCTATTTTTCCCTCAGCCTACCAAGCCTCTTTCGTTGGCTTGATACCCTGTCGTTTGACACCCTATTTTGCCGCCTTGTTTCAAGACTTAGTCTTTGGGAGCCTAATTTCATACCAAGGGGTTAGAGACATGGTCTGACTATGGGGGCGGCCGACCGCTAGGCCACGGATAGGGAGCTTGGCCACTTAGACCCAAAAATCCAACCCAATAAGGCCCAGCTAGCTCATTTAATGTTTAATGTTGAGATGTCCTTATAAATCCACTAATTCTCTTGTTATTAATCAATGTGGTACAATTTAATTTTTTATGGGTAAACAGATGCCCCACAACTTAGTGTATAAGGATTATGCACTAAGTTGTTGAACCCAACTTGACCACCTAAAAAAATAATTTGGTTTAATGTTGCGTCACAAAGACACAAAAAATATGGCTTTGGTTTAATCACAGAGAAATACAACGTTAGAGAAATACAACATTAGATATCTCACTGGACCAAATTTGGCTTTACAAACAAGGTAATTTATCCCAATCTCCTCTCAACACCACGTTGACTATCTCTTTCCTTCTCCCACTCGGCCACTACTTGGTCGTTAGGCATAGAAGGTATTTTTCACTTCATGTAGAAGAAGATTCAGGCCAAGTGGGAGGATATGGGAGCTTACTGTCTCTACTACCGACACCTTATTTGCCAATTGAGATACTCATCCATGTCCTAGTTATCCAAGAAAACCATGCCCATCAAACATTAAAATGGTATCGTGCCAATGGCTTAAGGTGAGGCAGGCTTAGCATGATGACCATCATGGTGGTCGGTTAACCTTGAAACTAGGGAGGAGACATAGGGCTTTAGATTCTAGGCATTGATCAATCGATCATGTAACATCCACTTAGATCTTTCAACAGGTATGCCTCATTGGATTGGGTGGCATGGATGGTAACGATCCATGTCGGACAACATCTACTCATTCTATGAAAGTGGCATGGTGTACCCACCAATCAAACGAGCATAGGAGGCACCATAGACCCAATCACATGACTTGTTGCTTACCAGTCATGGCAAGGTCCTCACACCACCAGTCTTACAACTCTAACACAACTTAAATCTTCTACAATATTTTTAGTCATGAATGGCCTATGATTTTTTGTTATTTCTGTCTTTACCTTACTAGTTTTTTTAGGATTAATCGCATTTTATGCCCCTCTATTATGGTAAATTAACAAATGTACCCATTTATTAATTTTTTGTACAAACATACTCTTCTAGTATTAAAACGTAACAAGTTTACCCTTCCATCCAATTTTCTGTTAAGTGACCGTTAAGTAAGATGTGAAATGACTTAATTTCCCCTCATTTACTTCTAATTACATCTAATTTTGATTTTATTTATTTTATGTCTCAAAACAATTAATTAAAAATATCCAATCCCTAAACTAATTCCTAAACCGTACGTCTCCCTCCCTCCATTCTGCGGCGACGCCTGCTCCCGACATCTCCTCGCCGCCAGCTGGAGTAGAGAGAAGGTTTACGAGGAATATGTTGGCGACGTTTAGCCCCGAAGACCTTGTAGACGACAACAAGCTTGTGGGGCTTGTGAGAGGAGAAAGGGTCGGGCATTAACCATAGGCACATCTTCGGCGTAGGAGCTTTCAGGCGGCGCAGCTACTACTCTCCTCCCCATTAGTGATTCATGATGCTGATTGCCATTGATTAATTAGTTAATTTGATGATCGTTGCTTAATTAATTAGTTAAACACCATTGATTAATCACCTCTCTCTAGCCATTCATGCATGCTAGTAGCTAGATGGAGGGGATGGTGAAGTTTTTTGGATTTGGATGAGAGAGGAGATGTCGGGAGCGGTGTGATAACGTCGTATTTGCACATGTTTGCACCCTCGTTTCTTGATCATTTTGGCTTGATTTTTTGCTTTCTTGGACTATTTTATCCTAGGTTGTGTTCCTTTGTCATATTTCAGATCCTAGTATGTAAATTGAAGCATAGGCGCAAGTTTCAAGTCAATCGGAGATCATTTGGCAATTCGGGAGAAGAAACACGAGCATGACCTGAGGAAGAATGGAATTCTACCTCATATTATGGACAAATATTCATGGAATCTTGTCATGAAAAGAAAGAGGACAAGAATACGAGCGTCTGGGATCAAACGACGACTAATTCGGAGTCCGGTCGAGGGAGAAACGAAGCATTAAACAGGAGCGGAGGAAGAAATACGGGCATCCCCTGCCCAATTACGGGCGTAATTGCCTCTGCCCTGACCGTGAATGCAATGCCGAGCCAAATCCCTGAGAATGCCTTCGAAGATCAAAATATGGGCAAGAGCAAAATGAACTCCGGTCGTAATTCAACAAATACTGGCAGTAATTGGGTAATTACGACCGTAATTCCTCTCATCAGTGTTAAGTGAAACACGCGTTTTGGGTGAAATACGGGCAGACCATGTTTGTGACCGTAAGTCAGCCCGTATTTCGCCCAAAATCGGGGTTTTGAGGCAAATTCGAGCCAAAGGAAAGAGAATCGAGTTTTTGAGCAAAAAACAGAGCTTTAGAGAGAGAAAGTGTGAATAACAAACCCTAGGAGCTATTTGGAGTGGATTTCTCACCATTGAAGCCCAGATTGCATCCCCAGGAGTGGGGATCGTCATCCCAGAGCAGATTATCCTCATCTTTATGAGTATGACTACTCTGATTTCTGTTTTCCTCTCTCTCTCTCTCTATGGAGTAGAACTCTCTCTCACTTGGGTATGAAGAATCCTAGTTCCATGTGTTAGGGATCTTGATTGTAATGACTTGGGATTGATATACTGATTGATTTTAATCGATTGGTGCATGATTCATTGAGTCAATTGAAGCCTGATCATCTTTTCTTGATTTTTGCTGCAACCTGAGATAGATAGAATCTAATTAGTTGTTAGAGCTTCATCAATCGGTAGTGGTAGATTGGTTATACGAGAGTTAATCGATTTACTGCTTTGTACTGGAATCTAATTCCAGTAGTGGAGTTCTGCGTTTATTGCCTCAGCAGTCTATCCAGGTGAAGGCTAGTCGCCTGCATGTTAGTCTGCTTGAGAGGGCTTGGTCAGCTTAAGAGATTACAAGCTACTGTCGGATCTTCCGCAGTTTAATCAACAGTTAATCAACCCAAGGTAATTACAAACTTGACCTAACTAAGGAGCTAGGGGGACTCAATCCCGAGTGACTCTTCCCTTGCTAAAGAACTTTGAACCATTTCCTGCTTTCTTAATGCTTTTAGTTAAAATCACTATCACTCAACTTAGTTTGCTAGATAATAGATAATCACGGAGTAGGCAGTAGATCTAGACCCCGGGTTGACAAATAGAGCTGGCACTTACTGCATTTCCGGACTGCGATTACACTTGGTTGCAGTTTGGTGTTGTGTTTTAGCGTGTCACGGTGTCGGCGCCGAGACTATCGCTAGGGGAGACAGACGGTTTTGTGTGTGGTTTAGGGGTTTGATTGTTTTAATTAATTGATTTGGAACAAAAAATGACTAAAACTGAAATTAGGAGTATTTAGGAATACATGAGGGGTAATTTAGTCATTTAACAACCCTTTTAACGGTCACTTAACAGATAATTGGATGGAAGGGTAAGCTTGTTATGTTCTAATATTAGAAGGGTATGTTTGTGCAAAAATTTAGTAGAGGGGTACGTTTGTTAATTTATGATAGAAGAGGGGTACAAAATGCTATTAAACCTTTTTTTTTAAATTACCCATTATTTAATTATCATTATATAATAGAGAGTGAAAAATGTCACTGCTCTCCATACCCTTTGACGACCAACAATGTGCCAAAAGTGTACACTCACCGGCAAGTCCATGGATTAAACCGAACCAACCATCCATACACTACTTGCCTTCCTTCATTTAGGGGTGACGACTATTTTGGTGTTGGTTTCAAATTTTCCATCTTAACAACGAATGGTACCCTCCCAATAAATTTTGCCTTGGTGGGCTTGCGAGGGGTCTCATGATTCTTTGCCTTAGTCACCTTACTAGACATGTTGGCTTGCCTCGTTCCGGCCTCCGGGTGGTGCACTAGAAATTTTCAACTCCTTCGAGTTATCAACAAGACCATGAAGTACCTTTTGTCTTGGTTTCTCCTGTCTTGACACATGCTTGCTCGTCCCATATGGTTGGGAAGACTGGTGTTCGGACTTATAGAGTTGATAATCACCATTGTGGCCAACTTGAGCATGTTCAACCCTGATGCCTTGATGAACCTTACACTTAGCACATAACCACTATTGGCCCTCTATAGGACCATGTCTAGTTGGTGTGTGCCGAGATATCTTATTCATGCCCCCTTTTCCACCATTCATGTTTGGCATGCTATGAGGGGTGTTAGGCACAAAGTTGTTTCTTTGTCTATACTTTGACACACTCTCATAGTTAGAAAACTTGTGGATGGCTTTCTTGTTTTGCAGACTCCTAGACTTGCCCCCACTAATTTCATCACGGTCGATGGAATGCCCCCTTGTCCGTTACATGGAGCTGAAGAGATACCCTTCTTGGCACACTTAGCTATATTAGCATGTGTTGCGTGGGCTTGTTGCGGTTTATTGGGTATGCCTACATATTCATTGCTTATGGTTGGTGGCATGCCCCCGATTCTACTGCATAGGCCTGGAGACATGCCACCCTTGCCACACTTAACTATTTAGCATTCTTACTAGAAACACATGTGGCTTGGGCCTGTTGTGACTTCGTGGGGACGTCTCTCTGTCCACTGATTGTGGTTGATGACATGGATCCCTTGTCACACTATGCTCGGCAAACGGGTTGATTATTCGGGGCGTTCCGTAATTGTCGTGGGTCCCTCACTTTCATTACATCAATGTGGATTGCCTCGTGAAATAGCAATCGAGCTTTTTCAGACATTTGTAATTCGTGGTCTAATTAGACAACGTCTTGCTTCGAACATAGGAGTTGCTAAGAGTAAAATTCGAGAAAAAGTGCCAATTGTATGGGAAATACTTCAGGAAGTTATGCGGGGACATCCTATATTGCTGAATAGAGCGCCTACTCTACATAGATTAGGTATACAGGCATTCCAACCTATTTTAGTGGAAGGGCGTGCTATTTGTTTACATCCATTAGTTTGTAAGGGATTCAATGCGGACTTTGATGGGGATCAAATGGCTGTTCATGTACCTTTATCGCTGGAGGCTCAAGCGGAGGCTCGTTTACTTATGTTTTCTCATATGAATCTCTTGTCTCCAGCTATTGGAGATCCCATTTCAATACCAACTCAAGATATGCTTATTGGGCTCTATATATTAACAAGCGGGAATCGTCGAGGGATTGGTGCAAATAGGTATAATCCGTGTAATCGCAGAAATTCTCAAAATGAACGAATTCTCACGAATAACAATAAGTATACGAAAGAACCATTGTTATGTAATTCCTATGATGCAATTGGAGCTTATCAGCAGAAAAGAATCAAACTAGATAGTCCTTTATGGCTCCGGTGGCAACTAGATCAACGCGTTATTGTTTCAAGTGAAGCTCCTAGGGAAGTTCACTATGATTATTTGGGTACTTATTATGAGATTTATGGGCACTATCTAATAGTAGGAAATATAAAAAAAGAAATTGTTTGTATATACATCCGAACCACTATTGGTCATATTTGTCTTTATCGAGAAATTGAAGAAGCTATACAGGGGTTTTGCCAAGCCTGTTCAGATGGTACCTAATCCAATCATAGAGATCTATGTTAAGTAATTTTAGCAGACCGGTGTGAATTCTGATCTCCTCGGTTCGGCTAGGACCATAGTTCTGAAATTCCTGAATTTCTATGCGAATCAAGATCGAGAAAAGGAAGTTTTCCAAGCATTGACTCAAATCCATTGTCAAACCCCACTCAGCCGAATATGGAGGTACTTATGGCCGAACGGGCCAATCTGGTCTTTCACAATAAAGTGATAGATGGAACTGCCATTAAACGCCTTATTAGCCGATTAATAGATCACTTCGGAATGGCATATACATCACACATCCTGGATCAAGTAAAGACTCTGGGGTTCCAGCAAGCCACTGCTACATCCATTTCATTAGGAATTGATGATCTTTTAACAATACCTTCTAAGGGATGGCTAGTCCACGATGCTGAACAACAAAGTTTGATTTTGGAAAAACACCATCATAACGGAAATGTACACGCGGTAGAAAAATTACGCCAGTCCATTGAGATATGGTATGCTACAAGTGAATATTTGCGACAAGAAATGAATCCTAATTTTAGGATGACGGAACCTTTTAATCCAGTTCATATAATGTCTTTTTCTGGAGCTAGGGGAAATGCATCTCAAGTACACCAATTAGTAGGTATGAGAGGATTAATGTCGGATCCACAAGGCCAAATGATTGATTTACCCATTCAAAGCAATTTGCGCGAAGGGCTTTCTTTAACAGAATATACACACACTTTGACACGAAGGTAGGATGAGGGTCGTTCTCTCAATCACCATTAAGCTCAACAAGTACAAAGTTCCTAACATTAGAAAGACCCTAAAGTCACACGACTCAAAGGGGTTGACTAAGGGATAAAATGTTTCAGGACAATCAACTTTTGGGCATGGACTAATCCTATGCCTCCATCATACTCAGTAGTGACAACGGTGAATGTTACACACATGGCGAGTGGGATCTATCACACATGAAAAAGACGACCAACAAAAATCTCACATGGCTACCTAGCCACCCAATCATCTTTTCCAATTTCATGAACTTCTATGCAAGGCAATTGTGATCAAAGAGTAACCAAGTCAAGACATCCATTCATTTAAGCACACATGAGAACTAAGCTTTTGCACACACCTAATGAACTCTCAGTCATCATAATCGGATGCGCTCGAGCACATGCAATAATTCAAGATCAATGCCAAATAAACACGAGATTCACCCATGAACCAACCATTTTGATCATGCATTTCTTAGAGCCCTCAAAATTTTCAAATTTGGGCATGCATCAAGCTCCAAGCATTCAATCACACACAAGCATAATAATAAACTACCCCCCACACTTAAGCTCGACATTGTCCTCAATGGCGTAAAATAGGGGGGTAGAACAATGTTACCACATAGCTTGGTGAATGAAAGTTGGACAATTTCCCAGGGTAGGATGTTTGAGCTTCAAAGAGAAGACAAAACAAAACACAAACACACGCACATTCTTGCTCGAGGCGAGTTTATTACACATAACAAAGTTCCACATCACGATTCAAAGGAAAGAAAAACTTACAAAATAATACTTACACACTAAAGAAAGAAAAAATAAAAATAAACAGAGTTCAGAGTTTCAAGTGGAGAATTGGGGTGAAAGAAATCGGCTCTGCCACATGTCTCACTCGTCGGCTACCTCGTCGTCCAAAAGGATGCCCTGGCGTCGAGTAATCCTCTCGAGGAGGTCAATGGATTGGTCGAGCCTAGTGGTGACTCCCACAAACTGCTCCTGGAGGCGATCCACTCGCTGCTCGAGGTGGCCTCCGGAAGAGGAAGTACCAACTCCAAATGATGATGCTGCTGATGGTGATGGTGTGGTGCGCCGGAAGCGTCCTAGAGCTCTGGTAGGGGGCTGCTCTGGTGGAGGGACCTCTGGATCAGGCTCCACTGGAGCAGGTTTCGACCTATGGCCGTAGAGCAGCCGAAGGTCGAATACCCTCGAGGAATTCAATCCCTCACTCTCCTAGGAGCACCAGCTTCATGTTGTAGAGCATCTCCACTGAAAGTGGCTCAGTCCGACTGATGATGGAGAACCTTGTCGGGTCAACCCCGAAGTGTCGGGCTAGCCTCGTGATGAGGCCCCTCAAATGCATCGTATCAACTCGATCCCGCCCTTGACATCTGGCGAAGGTGGTGGCAACCACTGATACCAAATGGAGTGGTTTTGCTGGGCGGTTGACACGCCAAAACACAACACCAAACTACGACCAAGTGTAATCGCAGTCCGGGAATGCAGTAAAATGGCAAGTTCTATTATCAACCCGTGGTCTAGATCTACTGCTTACTCCGTGAGTATCTATTATCTAGCCAACTAAGTCAAGTGTTTGTTGTTTTAAGCAAAAGTAGAAAGAAAGCAGGAATTGGTACGGTTTTCTCAAGCAAAGAAGAGTCACTCGGGAATGAGTCCCCCTAGCTCCTTAGTAAGGTTTCAATTGTATTTTCCCTGGGTTGATTTACTGTTGATTAGACTGCGGAAGATACGACAGTAGCTTGGAATCTCTTAAGCTGACCAAGCCCTCTCAGTCTAACTACCCGGCAGACGACTAGTCTTCACCGGGATAGAAAGCTGAAGCAATAAGCACAGAACTCCACTACCGGAATTGGATTCCAGTACAAAGCAGTAAACTGGCTAACTCTCGTATAGCCAATCTCCTACTACCGAATGATGAAGCTCTAACAACCTAATCAGATTCTATCTATCTCAGGTTGCAGCAGAAATCAAGAAAAGCTGATCAGACTTCAATCAATTCAATAAACATGCATCATTCGATTATAACCAAGCAGTAATATCATCCCAAGTCATTACAATCAAATCACTAACACATGGAACTAGGGTTCTTCATACCCAAGTGAGAGAAGGGTTCTACTCCATAGAGAGAGAGAGGAAAACAGAATACAAAGCATTCATACTCATAACAATGGGAAGAATCTGCTCTGGGATGATGATTTCCACTCCTATGACGATCTCCAAGCTCGATTTGATGAAACCCAGCTCCAAGATGGCTTCTAGGATGTGTTCTTCGTACTTTCTCTCTCTAGGGCTCTGTTTTTGCTCTGAAAATCCGATTCTCTCACTTGCAGCCCGAAATTGGGTAAAAACCAGAAATTCCCGACTCACACGGGCAGGCCACACGGCCGTGTGGCATACCCAGTTGCCCGTGTGAGGTCAAAACGCCGCGTTCCGAGTAATTGGATTTCAGGCTTCCTACACGGCCAGGGTCACACGGTCGTGTAGCTCACCCAGCCTGGCCGTGTGAAGCCTCGCAGAATTCCACACGGCCAAACTGCAGCTTCACACGGCCGTGTGGATTTTACTTGTGCCCGTGTGAAGGCTCGCACAATTCCACACGGCCTCCTTGGTCACTTGCATGGCCGTGTGAGTTGTGAGTGTGCCCGTGTGGCTTCCTTTGTGACTTGCCTCGCGCCCGATCTTCGTCCAATCGACCCCGAACTCGCTTCTAAACCTTCATTCACTGGCTAGGACCTGAAATATCACAAACAAACACAACCTAGCGTGAAATCGGCCTAAAACACGAGAATCAACACCTCAAACGGCTCCAGAATTGGGGTAAAAACATGTGCAATTAACGGCTTATCATCGGTTCAAGGAATGGAGGGCTATCAACCCTCTGTCAGTTATTATGTGGCCCAACATCAGACTAGGGATGATAGACTTCGTCAAAACTGCGTGCAGGTGCCTCCATGGCGTCCGAAGCTTCATTGCATTGGTGTTGGAGCCCTTGAACTCGTCATTGTAGTGCTCTGGACGACAAATGGACTGGAAAGTTTCCTGGTAGTGGAAGTCTGTTGTGTAATACCTCTCTGTCATGGTCATGTGTGTGGGGTCGAACCCATGGCCTGGGCAAAGCCATCGTAAGACAGTACCCGCTGCTCACCCCCCAACATGAGCTCCACGTATGGGTGGTTGCGCTTTCTCCCTGGGATGACGTGGGAAAAAGTGGAGTAGAACTCCACATAGAGCTCGCAGTAGATGAGCTCGTCAATTGCCAGGAGAAGACGCCACTGGGGATGACTGAGGACCCCCGACATTGCCGCCCGACACATGAACATGTCCAGGTCCAACACCTAATGAGGCCCTGCCTCGCTGTACCTCCACTACTGGAACTTGGTACCATATTTCTCATGTTTCACCAGGTAGTGAACGTACTCGTGATCCGCATCTACCATCCTGCAAAACATCCAAGACATACACCATACGTGAAAATATCTGTCAATATCACATCAAAGGGGAGAAAAGATCCCCCCACCACACACTTAGGATTCCACTAAGGTTCTATTATTTCGAATGCGTTTCACAAGATCGGATTTCAAAAAATTAAGCTCAAGCACTAATTAAACTCATTGAGACAAGGTTCTGGGTGAATCATGGTTCGGCCAAATGAAAACAACAACCCAAACCATGCCTCAATGGCTCTCAATCATCATGCAAACAAGTGTATCAAGTCATTATCAATATACTGCACTTGGTGGGAATGCTCAATCCAAACCACAAAATCATGCCAAATTCTTCCCACCAAGGCTCAACTAACTTAATCAACACTTCATGCAACATTCAATCAACCCAATATGACATTCCTCTCGCCCAATTTCAACATTCATTTACTAATTCACAAATTCCCCCACCTCCAACCTTAATCCGATTCTCCACAAATTTACAAGTTAAAAGTTGAAAGCACACCTTATGACTCAAGTAGAATCGAAGGGAAGGGTAAGGAGAGGGTGAGGGAGTCGGAAAATGCCAGAAAAAACTAGGGGTGGGCAATGAGAAACAGGTATTTGGGTATACCCGTACCCGTCCCATTATTTAAGGGTTACGGGTACCCATATTACCCGTAATATTTTAAACGGATGGGACTTGGGATTGTACAGTCCTAATATGGGTACCCGCGGGTTACCCGCGAATACCCGTTTGGGTAATATGGGTACCCGTTGTACCCATTCAAACTACACAGACATATAATTCAGCCCATGCGCCCAGGCCCAACCCAATTCAAAATCCATTAAAATTACAAAATCCATTTAATTCAGCCCGTGAGAGTTGAGACGCTGACGCACCCCTAGGCCCTAGAAGACGCGAGACACGCGACGGCAGGCGGCAGCTTCTCTGGAATTTGGAAAGGTCTGTCTCTGTCTTGTGTCTTTGGGTTGTAGGAATTGGTGTAAGTTGCTACTTGTGCAGCCATTTTGTGTTTTGAAATGAATGCTTTGGATGTAATTGACTAATTGTCTTTAGGTAAAATGTCATTTAAACTTTGGGTATTTATGGGTAGTATGGGTACTCGTTATCCGTCCCGTACGGGTAATGGGTACCCGTTTCCCATATGGGTTTGGGATATGGGATGGACTTTGGTCTCCAAATCGGACTGGGTACCCGTTTAAAACGGGACGGGTATCCCGTCCCGTTGCCCACCCCTAGAAAAAACAGCCGGAGAGGCTCGCCGAAAGCTAGCCGGAAATCGCCTCACCGGAAAAAATGTGCTCCAAATCCCCCCAAATTTCTGGCGAAGGTGCACCCGGAAGTGAGGAGAATGGGTTTGCGTTTGGTTTTGAAAATGGATGGCTGGAAGTCGCTGAAGTCGACGGAAAATGGCAAGAAATCACGATTTTCCTGTGAAAACAGAGGATTCCGGCGAGGTGGCGGCGTGATGTAAAGATTAGGGGTTGACGCCCCTTTTATAGGCCGAACCCGTAGTAAACGAACGGAGGCCTCAGTTCACGGTCTCTAAGACCGTGAACATAACTCCCAGATCGTGAACTCATGTGAAATAGTGAGTTTCAAATACTGCTAGATATGCCCTCGTTCACGGTCTCCAACCTTTTATCACGGTCGCTAAGACCGTGAACTAAAGGCAAAAACCGTGAACTGAGTGAAAACAGAGCATTTCCAGAAATTTTGACTCGATCTACTCAACGTGACCCTAATTCAATCACAACACATCCCAAAACTCGCAAACACACAGACCCAGCACTGAGATGCCCATTCTAAGACTTGAACTCTTCACACAAACACAAAAAGGGAAAATAAGGAAAATAAAACATACTATCATTGGGTTGCCTCCCGACAAGCACTAGTTTAACGTCAATAGCTCGACGTTGCGGATCTATCATGCTTGAGAGCACGAAGCCACCGAGAGTGGATCTGCCACGATCTCGGGGCGAGTTTTGTCACCTCCCAACTTAAGCTCCATAGGGTGGCATTCCTGGCCCGACACTTTCGCCTTACCCTTATCATCGAGTAAGGTCTTCGCGGTGGCAAGGAATGGGCGCCCTAGTATGAGTGGCATATCCGAATCTTCACTGATATCAAGGATAACAAAATCCATCAGATAATAGAATTTGCCAACTCTTACTAGGACGTCCTCCACAATACCTCTAGGACTAATAACAGAGCGACCAGCCAATGTGACACTAAGCCTAGTGGTCTTCAATTCACCCAAATGCAACTTTCTAAAAAGATTGTAATGCATCACATTAATGCTTGCTCCTAAGTACGCCAAGGAGTTTTCTATATGATGATTTCCGATGCAAAGAGGTATAGTAAAACTACATGGATCCTGATGCTTTTTAGGCAACTTGTTGAGGATGAATGCGGAGCACTCCTCGCCTAAGGTGACATTGGCGAGGTCTTCATATTTTGGCTTCTTGGCGAGAATCCCCTTGAGGTATTTGGTGTAACTCGGCATGTGCACCATGCCTCCAAGAACGGAATGGTGATGCGGAGTTTCTTGAGCATCTCTATGAATCCACCACATTCCGCCTCCAATCGGTCCTTGTGAATCCTCATGGGGAAAGGAAAAGGAGGCTTGTACTTAGCCACTTGTGGTGGCATTGGCAATGCCTTCTTAAGCTCTTCTTCCTTTCCTACCACTTCTTCTTAATCATTGGTTGGAGGGGTCTTCTCTTCTTTGGCCACTTCCTTAGGAACAACCTCCAGGGTCACCTTTCCACTCATCAAAAGAATAGCATTGCAACCGACATTTTGATCTTTGGAGTTGGAAATAGTTTGAGAGGGTAGGGCTCCCCTTGGTCTCTCGGTGAGGATCCCGACAAGATTACCAATTTGCACCTCCAAGTTTTGAGGGCTTTCTTGATGCCTGCTCAATCCCGCCTCGACCGAAGTCGACCGAAGTAAACTTTATTTTTGCCACATCCATAAATTGCTCAATCTTCTCAAACTTTTGAGTGCTCGTGCTCACGAAGGTGGTCATTAGGTCTTCAAGTTTTGCAAACTTATTGGTTGTTGGAACCCTTGACCACCTTGAGCTTGGAAAGGTTGTTGGAAGTTAGAGCCTTGGAATTGCGGCCTTTGTTGAATGAAAGTAGGCCTTGGTTGATAATTTCCCGTCGGTCTTTGGAAACCGGGTGGTCTTGGGTTGGTAGGAGAGGACCAAGAGAAATTGGGATGATTTCTCCACCTAGGGTTGTAAGTGTTGCTATAGGGGTTGTTCCCCCTAGCATTGGGGATGAAACTCACTTGCTCCTCAGGGGTGCTCCACTCCTTCATCATTTGACACCCCAAAATTGCGTGGTTGGTACTTGAACACCAATCACACGCCATTGCCGGCCTCTTCCCATGCTTCTTGTCCTCTAGGAGTGCAACAATCAACCGATCAATCTTAGCTTCAAGTGGAGGACTCGCTCCTACACTTTGCCCTTCTCTTGTGGTGCTTCTCTTGCCACTTCTCGTCAAACCCCAATCATACTCTTTACGCCTCCCTGCACACACTCCGAGTCTTACACCTCCCTGCACACACTCCAAAGAACCACAACTCTTCTAACACAAGCAAGATTCACAAACACAACATCGAAAAGTAAAAGCTAGATTAACACCAAACAATCTTTTCAAAATAACGGACCGTTTGTTCCCCGACAAAGGCGCCAAAAACCTGACTCGTCTCGAATATCACAATAAAACTCCCAAGCAAGGCCCAAGTATAAACCTTAATTGGGTGCAATATAGTGAAAGTTTGTTTAAATATCAACCCGAGTCGGTCCATGTACCCCTACTTCGATTGTTTGATTGAAAACTACGATCTACTATTAAAGCAATTGTAAAAGTAAGTGGTTTGGACTCTTAAATGATAGGATTCACCCGGGTGTAGCTCCCCCTAACTCGCTACCATGACTTGTCGGAATGACTGAAAATGTATGGTGGAGGTGATTGAGAACTGTAAGTGAAGTGTAACTAGAGATGGAACATCACTCTCCCAGTCCCTAGGTCAAGGAATTCGGATTAAGCTACCAAGGTAGCTCTCTTGGCCTAATCGACTAAGGACTACCAAACCTTACCTCTCAAATAGTAATTCGGAAGGCCAAAACACAATCAACCCCTAGGTGCCAACACAAACAAGGAGGGATGCCCTACATTAACCTAGATAGGATACATGATTTGCCTAAGAAAACCAAGCTTAACAAGCCTCTTTAACAAAAGAGGGTTTTCTCTCTACCTAGGTTAGAATGACAAATAGATTGATAGGCAGACACACAACACAATCTTACATGAAAATACCTCCAAATTCGTATTAAAACACACTCACACATAGACAATCATTCCATACAATCAATCACATGGTAGAAGTTAGGGTGCACAAACACCCAAGTGAAAAGGGAAACTACTCCATGCTATGAGAGGGGAAAACACAAGGAGAAAGAATAAAAACCATCATGGAGATGTTTGAATCCTTTCTTGTGTAGAAGAGATCTTCCTTTGGGGAAGAGTTTCCCAAATCCTTGCCTTCGAATGAAACCCTAGCTTCTTCCCTCTTCTTGCTCGTCACTTTCTCTCTCTAGAATGCTGAAGAAGAAGGTTTTCTCACTCAAGGTCTCCTCCCTTTTCCTTCAGCTCAAACCCCCTTTTATACCCAGGTTGGGCTCAAATCACGGTCCTAGTTCACAGCTGTGAACTCAAGGCGGGGACCGTGATCTCGGGCCAACACATGTCGCATCACTAACTCAGTTCATGGTCTCTAGCTTGGGTTCGCGGTCTTACGACCGTGAACTGGCTTGAGTACATTGAGAACCAAAAGGCTCTAGACGCCTAGCGGTTCACAGTTTGCAGCTCCAGTTCATCGTGACCTGCTACTGCCTCCATCATTTGACCCGATTTTGCGCATTTTCGTCAAACTTTCGACTCCGGAGTAAAACCAGACAAAACCCAGCATAAAACCAAACTCCCGAAGTAAAAATGCCTTAAATGACGAAGGAAACCGGGGGTAAAAAGTATACAATTAAGCCTGAATCAGACTGTTACTCATAAGCCTTCATAGTTGGTATGTGGTGTCTAATTCAACCAAGATTGTCAAACCGGTTTTCTAATGTTGTGGCTGTTTAGCAAGTGGAATGGTTTTTTGGATGACATGATGACGAATTTTTTCATAAGAGAAACTTTCTCAGTCGAAGGAGAAACTTAATTCAAAGGCTGACTCATAATAAAGTAAGTCTACTCCTCGTTCTACAGTTAAAAAAGTATTGGATTGTCTGACTCACTCCCGACTACGTGTGCTTTTGCGGCATATACCGAAAAAGAAAGAAAAGGAATACTACTTAAAAACAACAAAAGTATTCATGCTGATGCGAGACTCGCTTAAGAATAAGAAAGAGGTAAATACCATGAAATAATGTTTGACCCTATTTATGGGTTATAGGGATTCCAAAAATATACCATAAAAAAGAGCAAGTTCGAAACAATTGAGATTGTGGCCATCATATTGCATTGTCTCTCTCTGAGAGACAAGATGCAACTTCTACTAGTGGTATATCTCATTTGTACTAGTCCATGCCGATTTAACTAAATACGTAGAATGTTGACACGCTTCGCATGCTTCCTCCCTGTGTCCCCTAGCGCTCCTATCCGAACACAAGAGAAGGCAAAAAAGCACCATCGAACCCATTAATATCAAATGATTGTAATCATTTATAAAATATATTTGAAAACAATTTACTCGGAATTCACATTCATATTTAAATAAAATACGACATTTCAAATAAAATAACAAATACTCATATTTAAATACGACATTTATTGTCAATATCTAAATGTTCATACATAAATCCAACAAATAACATCAACGTTTAACTTTTAAATTTATAAAATAGATAATAATCTAACTTTTAAATTTATAAAATAAATAATAATTTAACTTTTTTATTAATCAAATTCATTAAAGCAACATGATTTTGCTTAATAGTCATAAATTGATCATGCGATAATACCAATAGTATTCACACTAGTTTCCTTACTGGCACCGGTTAAACCAAGTTCAACCGACCGACATTCCATTCGCGTAACAACCATGAATTCAATACATCCTCATCGGGAGTTCGACGACTCTTTTTGATAATTTTATGACTTAACAAAATTGTATAAAAGGTAGCATAGTTTTCTAAACCAAATAAAACTGACTCCAAATTCTCAAGCTTTCGGTACATGCTGCGAGGATTAAGAGCTTAAATTTGTTTAACCTTCGATGAGATGATGATCTCTTGAAGAAAACAACATAGAGAAACTCCAGTTGGCGTGGGTTCACATCAGAAAGAACACTCCTGTTAACAATTCCATGGATGATTTCGTGGTACTATACCAAAGTACTTCAATAACTCTGGTTCAAAAATCAATAAAGGACAATTAGATGGTGAACGAATATAACAGTGCTGCCAGTATACCTAGTTCAATGATCTCATTCACAGCCTTTTACTACCATGATTGTCAGTACTCAGTAGGCCTCATAGCATGAAACACTATTAACAATCTTAGCACCACCCAACAGATGGCAGGCCCCAAATTCTGTGAGTCTGGAAGTATGAAGAAGTCTCAACTGATTAATACAATCCGGCGATATCCCTTACAGTAGTCCATTGACAGACATATCTCTGTCTGCTGATGCAATACGAATCAGAGTGATCTACAAAAGAAGGCTGCCAGGCAAACTGAACGGTAATAGAAAGATGCAAGAAAGCTGCAGTTGGTGCTTTCTGATTGTCACTTCATATGCCCGGAAAATGAAAATGGTTAGAGTGGATGTACATAATACCTTCCTCTGGTCATGGAGTCGATAAGCGTGCCTCCCTCTGCACCCTCAGAAGTTGAAAAACATAACTCTCAAGCATCATCACCTGGGGTGAAGAAACCATACAATGCTGCTTGTCCATCTTCTTCACTGTTTTTCTTTTTACTTCTGCAATAGATGGAGTGATGTTTTCTTATTTAAATAGTCATAATAACCCAAATGAAGAACAGAAAATCTGACATGTTTATAGCTCAAGCAACAGGGAGATGCCAGTGTACCTGCTTTCCCACTTCGACAAGCAGGAGGAACTTCTTCAGCTTCATCATGTTGGCGTCGTCTTGCAACCCTGCGGAGAACAAGACTAGGAGAATTACAAACATGGTTTAGGGTGGTGAGGCTGAGTGAGATGACAAAGCATATCCCAAAGTTTTTGGCTGGACATACTTTATTTCATCAACGCTGCTATCAGAGTTTCCAGGAATGTTCGCTGATGATGAAGTCTCCAAGGTTCCTCCGTCTTTCACACCACCCATGCAGCGAGGGCCATTCTCCCCTAAATCTGAAAGAGCACCTATGTCTTCAACGCTCCTTTGAGCCCCAGCAGTTTTACAGTATGTTTGCTGATGTTTTGGGAACGATTGTTCTCCAAGGAAAAAATCACTATTTTTGCAGAAATTTGGAGTCCTTCCTTCAGTCTCAAAATCAAGAGAATGTTCTGGCTGCATTTTCGGAAGTTTGACCTTTGGGTATTTTGGAGAACCATGTAACTTCATGCTGCTAGATGGTTCAGGGAATGTGGAGGACAAATAATCACCAGAACAACCATACTTGGAGCTACTAGAACTTCTGGCATGGTGTCCATGGGATGGAAATGTACAATTAAGATCTTGATCCCAGGGGTTGGAAACCTTATTCGTATCCATGGATCTATATCCATCTTCATATGGCCAATCATTGAAAGGTCCTATTTTCTCTTTGCAAAGAGGGTCAAAGTCATCTCCCATATTTGAAACCAATAGCGTTGGTCTCTCTGCCTTTCCTCTTTTCTGAGAGTTACCCCTATTTGTCTTATGTGGCTCCTCAGCATAAATGTTTCTGGTACCATACATAGTATCAAGTCCATCAAAGGCACTTTCTTGTTTCCTGCTGGGCCTTCCAGTCGAGTATGATGGTGAAGAGTCCATTGATGCAAGACTCGCTAACATGTGGAGAAAACATTGATCAGAAATCAATAGAAAATAGTCAAAGGGTATCAGTATCAATCAGCGCAACATCTTATGGTGACAGGAGATAACCTGCAGTGGATGACTCTTCACTGCCAATAGGTTCAGATACGGAAATAAAAAATCCATCAGTCAGCAAATGAGATCAGTTGTTAGAAGCTGGCGACTGGATACTGATCTAACTAAATGTTTACCTCAATAGGCTCAAATTGTCCCTAGGATCTTCTATACTATGGGAAGACCAGTCAGGTTGAAACTTCGCATTTCCCATTGGACTCTGCCTGCCATCATCAACTGCAGCGTAAGTGTCTGCTGCAGATAGTTCATACAGCCTATACATATTCTCCGAAATACACAAGTACCTAGCCTCTCTCAAACGTAAAAATTTGTCATTGGATTCTGGTGCTTGGTACTTTGGAGCAAATGACCCAAATTCGCCTAGAGCAAGAGAAATATGACATTGAAGAGTTAATCGTGCAATAGAAGTCCTCTATTTGGCTATTTATTTCTGTGGACACTGAAGCAAACAAAATATACTCACGGTATCAAAGAGATAAAAGGAAAATACTTGTAGCTTTTCAAAATTGGTATCACGGTGCATAAGCATTTCATAAAAACCAAGAAAGAATCTAGAGTGAAAAATAAGTTGATTAGACAAATCATTCTTCAGTGTTTCAAAAATCTGAAAAAGGGACTAGAACTTGAATGGCTATCCTAGTTGTAGTGGGGGATGAAAACCCATCAAACCAACCTTGGACTTGAATATTAGAGCCAAAATTGTTTTCATTTAAAAAGAAGGCATTGGATAGAACTCAACTGATGAGAGAGAGAGCACACCTGAAATATTGTATTCATCTACTTCTTCAATACGATTTCTGCAAAGACAGCACCCATGGTCAAGGAAAATTCTAACCTTTAGTTCAAAAGAAGAAACTATGAGTGTGGCTGGTTGAAAGAAGAAAACCTTTTCTTTCTAAGCAAACAGGAACCTTCATAATAGTCATCTTGCAGTCCCATGGATCCATAAATTGGAAAATTTGCAGACTCATTATCCATTCGACGTGGCAAGCTACTCAAAGAGATCTTAGGTTCCATTTCATCAACAAGATTTTCATCCAATAAGGTAGGTGCCGCTGCAAAGGAGGTAAAATGACAAGAGTTTCACAGCAAATTAATAACAGATGTACCACCTATCTTTGGACGTTGGAGAACTATCACTGCATAGGAATGGTCAACAACATACATCATCTTTGGACGTTGCAGTGGATGGGGAAACATAATGAATGAACAAGCAACAACATACATCACCTTTTTTCTTTTTGTAAATTCCATTACTAAGAAACTAATGAAAAATGATGCACATCAAGGTCCTCTAAATAAAGTGCACTGGATAGGATGAAAATTCTCAGATAATTTGAACAAGAAGAAACACTACTAGGGTAGCTTTTTTTTTTTTGGGTAGAAAGTGGGGTGCTAAAAGGGCACCCCTGCCTGGCACTAGATTAAACGGGTTTGGGCAATGTCCCTACTAGGGTAGCTTTGGCCAAAGGGATCTTGCACCCTTTCACCACACATAACAACTTCCTGGACATGGCAATAATGCCATTCTGTGACATGCAGTATAGAATAAAACATCATGTATAGATACAAAAGATGTAATTAATGGAAATTCAAATTTCAAAACATACCATCCCATATATCGACATTCGCTTTCCTGAGTGGATTATTTTTACCACTGTATGAGCCAGTTTTGTTTCTGTAATGGCCATCAAGTTGCCCATGGTCTCTCAAAGTCGATGATTTCTTCAATTTTCCATGCAATTGGTCCATTTTTGAGAAATCCAGGTTACTGAAACTTGGATGCAAGTCAACATCTTCTATCATTACTTCCTGATGCGAATTGACATGTTGCACAGTTAGAGACATAAAAAAGAAAAAAGCTGATTCATTGTACAAGATCTAGCAAGTATCTTTGTTTGATTCATTCCATGGTCAAAGACCGTACAATATTTTAAATACAATCATACAGGTCGAATATCCAGACTAGAATACCCAATGTAGTACAAGTACATATGATAATGGACAGTTGTCCATTGTAAACTCATAGAGGCGCACAGAAGATAGATTAAGGCAGTCATTTATGAAACTAAGGAACTTCTAGCAGCACACCACTTAAGAAAAACAGAACTAGAAGGAAAAAAAAAAGTTACAGTTAGAAGAAAGCTAAAGTTGTATAAGGTATGCAGATATCGCTAATCATTTACAGGTGATTCAGTAGCACCCTTACCACTTCTTTCTCAAGTTCATTGTGAATCTTCAAGTTGTCCTGTCTTACAGGCTTTGATGGATTGAAGAAACCAAACGAGGCATACCTATTAACAGTTAAAAGATATGAGATTTCTTAGCGGCTGTCTATTCTGCAACTAATTATCACTCACCCAGAGATACCACTTATTATGAAGAACATGTGGTGCCATGAGTTAGCAGAATTTGAGAGCTCATTTGACCAGAAGAGTTGGGGAAACTTATGTTAAGCTCTATTGGGTTGCCATGGGATCAAAGTGGCGACTAAAAAGAACTATAGAGAACATAAGCAGCTAGAGTAACCATTACTTTCACGTCTATGAATGAAATGCAATGTCTGAACTCTTAACCCAAAGTGATATTGACTGGTGGGTTCAGGAGATGTTCATAGGCCAGGCTCACAAAACGTCAAACCTTTTGTTCCACAAAGAAGGGACGGGAACCTCTACATACCAGAACAGTAACAATTAGCTGCTGTTTAACTGGAGCTATTATCGTGTTGCTTATGAACCTAAAACAGGAAGAGAAGATGATAAAAAAATATGTGATCACCACACTTTAATCAGCAATTGAAGCTTGGTACTGCTCCATAACTGGCTACCTTATAGATTCTACAGAAATTGTGTTCTTAAATCAGAATCTTATGCCCCACGTTGACTCATTAGTACATATATCACCTTTAGTTGATGTTAGCAGTATGCTAATTGGGACTTCTATCTGAGCATGAGCTTGTAGACCATAACCTCCAGCGAAAAGAGAGATGGAAATCACTCTTATAAAAACCTATCCAGGATTGAAATAATTTTGCATGAAATAAAGCAGCAAGAACGATGGGAAATAATTCTGAAGGGGAATAAGCTACCTGTCAGATTGTGGTGGTGCCTGGACTGATGTATCCGCTCCCACTGAACCCAATCCTGAGGTGGGAAACTCAACTAACAATCATCTATGATGTCCTAGACTTTCAAAACAAAGTGCGATACACATGGAGTATTAGCAGTTTCCATTAGGTGACTGGACTGATGTATCCGCTCCCACTGAACCCAATCCTGAGGTGGGAAACTCAACTAACAATCATCTATGATGTCCTAGACTTTCAAAACAAAGTGCGATACACATGGAGTATTAGCAGTTTCCATTAGGTGACAGCATAGATATCCCTAAAGTTATGTGAGTGTACTCTAACAATAACTAGCGAACATAGTACAAGGCTGCGATGAACAATTTTGAGAAATAATAAAATGGGTTATATCCCATAATTTTTCTGAGCCATGTATTTATAGCTATTTCTTGGCCACCATACAAGATACACTATGATCTCTAACTCAACAGATAAATCTGTCAATGCAAAGACAGTGAGCAGAGAAGGTAAAAGGAACAAAAGGTTGGCAAATATGCATGTCAGTGGAGGACTCTGCAATACCTAAAGAACATTCCTTGATGGAAATAAACTTCCCAATTTATGATCTAACAAATTCCTCAGAGTCAGTAGAGATGGGCCTGTTCAGATGAAAACACTGGTAGCCATTCATCTTCTAAAAGAAGTTCAAGTACACAGAGAGTAAGACACCTCAAGTTCTATGCTACAATATATAAGGGATTCTATTCACAGTTACATTGCAGCATGTCAATAGAATTTTAGTTGAAAAAGTAAACAAAAAAGAACAGCCTTGAATTATAAGACAATGAGGAACTTACCGTCAACTGAAAATGTAACATGAGCTTCATGCACTGGACTTCTACTGTTAGCATTTGGTCCATCATCAGCAAGCAAATCAAAGACCGATAGCTCTGGGAAACAAACGACAGAAATGTTGGAAGATATTTGTGCAGCAAACAATACAGAAAAATTGCAACATCATTTTTGAACAACTGATTGATTTAATTGCCATGCATCAGCAGAACTGTAAACGAAGCAATACTAGAACAAACTCTCAGGCGTGGAAGTAAGCTGTTTACTCTGCAGAGTTGCAGTCTCCTGAAAATCACTTTTATCCACAATTCCATTTGAAACATCAGGAGCATTTTCTGGAGCAGGAAATAAGATCCTGTACGAAAATAAAAAAAGATTAAAGCACTAGAAATAAATAAGAAAAGACACTGGGGTTTATTTCAACTACAGTGAACTCTGCTTAAGACACTGAGAGACCCATCACATAGATTATATCAAGGGCTTCACATTTCATATTTATCTTCTTTATTTAACCAGTTAATATAATGTAAATAAGATAACTACACACTATCTGCCACTCACTTCTTGGGTGATATAGGTGCTTGCTGGCCTGAAAGATACCCCAATTCACAAATCAGTGTAAAATAAGAGAAAAAACTCCAGGAAATTGTTATTTGGGAAGACACGAAATACAGAACCTAGTACCTTCCCGAATTTCTAGTGAATCAGTTGGAGAAAATGAATCGTCGAACATGCGAGGTACAGTCTTTGGAAAATTACTCTGCACTCCAGAAGCATTGACCTTAGACAATTCTGGCATGGCTGGAAAAGGAAAAAATAGCACCGAATGGGGAATGGGGACGAGAAGGTGAGAATGAATACAGGGACCCGTATCAATCAAAATAAGCATAACCTATCAGCAAGGTATATCGGGTCCAACACGAGTAAGACCACACATACAACAATTATCAAGTTTTGCTTGTGTTTGACAAAATTGTCCAGTAAGCTGGCTAATTAGTTTATCAGGAATCCTGAAGGGAAATAACTAATTTCCAACACTCAGTATGGAAGTAGGTTGAGACAGGAAGGACAAGAAAAGGGAGCAAATGTTAGTTGATTGATTTCCATAGAAGAGTATAGCTAATGCTGCAAGCAGAAAAATGATTTAACATCACATCTTCACAAATATCTCCATACACAGAGGTTGGTTATCAACATTGATGATCCATTACATGTTTTATTTATTTGCTTCTTTTCCCTGGCCAATTTGAGGTGATCCACAGAAACTTATCATCTATCAACAAAACATCGACTATATCACCATAATGAAAGGACACCAATGAAACGAAGAAGAAGAAGAAAACAGCCTTGACTTATGGTGCTTACCACACGGACTTGCATCAGCATGCTTCACCTGTCGTGAAATGGTTGACAAGTTGAGCAAACTGAGAACATCGAGAGACCGAGGCTCCTTTTGATTTTGCTCGCCAATGTTTTTCTCATTGCGGAAACTCTCTAGTCCACCCATCTGCTGCCTCTGCTGCCGCCTTTTTTGCTCAAAGTATTGCCTTTGCCTAAGAATTAGCAAAACTTAATACAGCAGGCATAGATCCCACGACTCTAAAACATGTTTCAGTAATATCTAACGGGGAAATTGGGCTCATCCTTGGAAGATACTACAAATGATCTTTCACTTTTGTAGCTAGTGCAGCATATGGCATCCTAGAACAATAGGGGGAAGGAGAAGATGGTTTCCAAACTCTTTTTTACCTTTTCTCTATAGACTTCCTTGACTTGAATTACACACCAGTGCAGCAGCAAGTACATTGCAAGAGAAAAATTACAAGGTCAGAAGCAAAACACACTTTATCTATAAATCAAAATAGCAGAACTGATCACAACAGGATATCATATTCGAACGGCAGATTATTCCAATGTCCAAAGCTACAGCCGACACACTTGCCTTAAGGCAACTAGAAGAAGAACTCCACATCTGAAACGAAGAAAACGACCTAAAGAGGAGACATTCTACTTACTGTCGCCACTTTCTTCCTCGATCCTCCCATCCATTGCAGCATGGTTGCAGAAAGCCAAGGAAGGCTGTGTCCACCGGCAGAATCCGCAAACAGAAGATTTTCCAGGAATGAGCGCTTGATAGGGGAACCGCAGAGGAGACAGACGAACAAAGTTAGCAAAACCGTCTCCCAAAATGTCCGCGAACAGGAAGAGAAAACCGGACTCAAAGGAAGCTAGAGCGAACCAGAAACCCTAGTTCTTGCTAAAAAGCTTGGCAGGTGGCGGAATGCAGAGGGGGGAAATGTCGCAGCTGCAATGATCGCCTACGCTAACAGACTCTGAATCGAGAGTCCGCAAATCGGAAGCTTGAGGAAATGGACAAATTGATTTCTGAAAGCCCGAACTTTCTGACTCGGAGCAAAGAGGGGGTTTTGATTATGTAGAATGGAACGGGAATTTGCCTGTTTCTGGTTTGAATTGAATCGGTACCATTCTTATACTCTCATCAATTCATCTCTAGTTAGTCAAAAAAAAAAAAAAAAATCAATTCATCTCTAGCAAGTAGCAATTGGCGCCTTTCACAGCTTGGGCCGTCCTCCACCAGTCAGTGGGTTGGTTTGGTTTAGGTATGAATGGGCTTTCACAGAATTAGTGGGCTGGGCTGAGCTTGGTTAGAATCCGGGGGTAGGGAATTGATGGAAACCCTAACTAACGCTCCGCTTCATTTGTGAGGTCTCCCTCTGTCCGCTGTTGCTTGCTGCCGCTATTTAAACGATGGATTGTTGGCTATAATCAGCACCCCAACCCCATTGTTGTCTCAGGAATCAAAATCTGGAGGATTGGTTTCCATCCTCCATTCTTCTTCTTGTTTTGTGAATTTTCTTCTGTGTTTGTGGATTTTCAGTCAAGTCGTTTTCGTTTTTTATATCTTGGCTAGCATGCCGCCTGGTTGATAATGAGTTTTGGTTTGATTTTGATTGGGTTCCTTGTGTTCTGTTCTGTGTACAATAAGCCGATGCTCTGGAAATTGAAAGAATGAAGGAAGCATGGTAGTGTGCACAGAGAGTGATTGAGTGGTCAACATGTCTGCCCTCTTTGATCTTCTCTGATAAGCGGGCCTGGTTTTTGACCCACATCTTCTTCTTCTTTTTCCCCCCTTTACTTAAACTTTATTTTTGATGAAGTAATCTTATCCAACCCATTGGTAATTCTTAACTTGTCACTAGGTTCTTGAATTCATGGGTTTTTGCTATCCTTGTTTGTGCAAGCTGTAGATACAAATTCCGGCGGGGAAGGTTCGCTTTAGGCATTAGGTAAGTCTGCTCAGATAATCGATGTGAGATCTCGGGTGTGTGCCTGTTCTTGGTATTGTTTCGAACTACTTGAAAGCTAACGGACATTCATTTACGATGAATGTCGAAGAAACTGCACCCTGGGTCCTGTTTCAAGTTTCAACATATTTTTAATCGCAAAAGAGGCATTTAAATCCATTTTCTATGTAATGCTGGACCGTTGTTTAAGTTATACGCTCTGCTCGATCAAATCCAGCACTGCAGTGGGTGTTTATACTTGTATCGTTTCAAACATAAATGATGGTTTAGAAGCAATTTCGATTGTTTAGCAGCTATCATTGTTTTCGTGTAGTGTTTTAAGTGTGCCTAGATCCCTTAATATTCGCGAGGATAGGTATGAATTTAGGTTTAGATTTCTACTGGCTTATAGCTCGTACGTTGGTCGAAAATAGTTTATGATAATGGAAAAAGTCTCAAGCCATTAACATAACAAAAGTGGCAACTCCTAGTCCTAGTGTAAACTAAAGGAATTCATGCCACAAAGAAGTATTGATCATATAATTATAGAAAAAATGTCCAGCCATTCACCTAACTAAAGTGGCAACTTCTAGTGTAAACTAAAAGGATTCCAATGCCACAATTATTGTACGATAAAATTCTTACAAAAAAATTATGTTCGCAAATCCAATAAGTTTGAGTAATTGGAAAAATGATATGATGATGGTCAATAGGAAAATTTAATGCATTGTCTCAATGTTGCTAAAATGATATTCAGTTTTCGACAAGAAATAATAATTTGACCCGTACAAACTCAAAATAATTAAAGATGTTCCATGCATCGATTGTGACCATGAATAACAAAGTTGTTGTGTCACTAACCTCAATTTCAACATCCAATTGCAACAAAGTTCTATGGTATTAGTAAACTCACACGTAGCAATGACATCCTCATATTTCATATTTGCAACGAAACAGTGGCTGAATATGCCTATATATTAAACTATTAGACTAACTTCAACCCTTAAAGTTAAATTTGGCTCCCCAAATAGTCAAATATGGCTTTTTAGCTCCCCAAACCCCATTTTCACTCCAACCCTACACAATGCTAAATTTAGCTTCCTACCTCCCTTTTTTCAATTTATTACAATAAAGCATACTTATTTGACCTCTAATTTTCATATTTCACTTTAATTTTCTATATTTAGTTATTACTTTTGAAAACAAAATTTTGAATGTAATATTTTTTATTTCGGAGACAAAAAAAGTTTCTGAAAATTAGTCATTATTTTGTTACCGTTAACTTCGCGACCAATGAAAAAATATCAATTAAACATATAACATTTCATATCTTCTTTCAAACAATTAAAAAAATAACATACACAATCAACCAATAACAAAATACTACACAAAAAAAGCAAAAAGAAAAACAACACAATCAACCAATGAGAAAATCCCAAAAAAAAAACAAAAAAACAAAAAATAAAAGAGTACCCACCGCGGGTCCACCATTTCCTCTAGCCAAATTTGGCTTTTCCACCTTTTTAGAAGTTAAATTTGGCTCCCAATTCACCAATACCCATTTTTAACTCCCAAAATAATGTGGGTTGGAGCACAAAAAAAAAAAAAAAAACTAAAAATGGGTAAATGGCTTTTTAGCTCTAGGGTTGGAGTTAGTGTTAGTGATTGTTAAATGGGCGACGTAGCATGCCTAGCTAGTTGAGCATTCTATTTTCACATTCTTTACTTTTCCAGCAATGATGTATGAATTATCGTATATGTGAGAATATGCAATCAGAACTGGGCAAAATGGAAAACTTAGTTCAATTAGAATTAGAAAGAAATTCAGAATGTTTGTCATTCTGTTTTCTGTGGTTTTGGCAACAGAAAACAAATTATGAAAAAAACGAAATTGTTGTTTACAGTGAAACAAAAATTGAAGAAAACATATTTAGTTAAGAATTTTGATGGAGTCTGAAAATGGATTCTAAAAATGAAAATGTTTAGTTACTTCATACTGTTTTCTGTTACTAGATTTCACATTCTTTTCCATTGAGTATTATTCAACTCTAATCATGATATCAATTTTTAATATGATATACATTGTTTAAATGTATGATTGTTTTAAACTTATAGTTTGATTCATGTAATAATATGATACATTTACGAAATCTACGTTAGTTCTACACCTAAAAGTTCATGCAAAAATAATAAACTAAATTCTTATTGATACAATAAAGTCAAAGACAACGTACATATCTATAGCTGAACTTGGAAATACCTAATTACTCACTAATCCCACAAAGACTCAATAATTTACTCCTAACTAAGAATGACCTTTCCCCGTCTAGGCTAGGAGGAGATGGTGGATCTGCCGAGGCCTTTTCGGGCAAATGACATATACCGGGCAGTTCACGATATGAAGTCGTTTCAAGCTGCTGGCCCTGACGGCTTCCATGCTGCTTTCTACCAACGGGCGTGGAGGGTGGTGGGGAAATCTCTAATTAACTTAGCTTTGGAGTTTTTTCATGCAGGGAGTCTACCGGAGAACATAACTGACTCAACGATCGTCCTCATTCCTAAAGTAGAACACCCGGAGATGCCTTCTCACCTCAGACTCATCTCCCTCAACAATGTTTGCCTGAAAGCTATTACCAAGGCAATTACCAACCGGCTGAAACCCATAATGAGGAAGTTGGTCTCTCCCCGTCAGAGCAGCTTCATCCCGGGACGGCAGACTACATATAACATCATTGTTCTCCAGGAGGTCCTCCGCACTCTGAAGAAGAAAAAAGGGAAGAAAGGAGGGATGGTCTTGAAGATTGACCTTGAGAAAGTGTATGACTGGTTGCGGTGGGATTTCCTGCGTGGCACCCTCAAAGAAGTTGGCCTTCCTAGCTCGTGGATCAGCTGTATTATGTTATGTGTGGAGAACAACAAGATGCGCCTGCTCTTGAACGACGAGCTTTCTCATCCCATCATTCTCACCAGAGGAGTTCGACAGGGAGATCCCTTATCCCCTTATCTTTTTGTGCTTTGCATGGAACGTTTATCTCACAGGATTGACCAGGCCATTCGGGACAATCGTTGGAAGCCTCTTAAATTGTCCAAGGACGACCCGAGCCTTTCTCACATCTTTTTTGCTGATGACCTGGTTTTGTTTGCAAAAGCAGGGAGAATCCAAGTCGGAATAATAAAGCAATGCCTGGATGAGTTGTGAAGTAGCTCGGGCAACAGGTGAACTATCACAAATCTGCCATGTTTGTGTTTGCAAACATACACAGAAGACGTGATATGGCCCTAAGTGAGGGTATGGAGATCCCGCTCACAGTGGATCTAGGTAGATATTTGGGAGTAATGGCCATCCATGGCAGAGTAACACGAGGCAGATATCAGGATCTTATCCTCAAGATTCAGAAGAAGCTAGTTCCTTGGAAAGCTAAGCATCTTTCCCTTGCCTCTTGCATTACCCTTGTTAAGTCGATTGCTGCGTCTGTTCCTCTCTATCCTATGCAGGTGGAACTCTTGCCAAAAAATGTCTGCAAGGATCTGGATAAAGTCAATCGCAGCTTCCTATGGGGTGACTCGGAAGAGAAAAGAAAACTACATCTTGTGGGCTGGCAGCATTTGACTCTATCAAAGGACCAGGGAGGACTGAGTATCTGCCCCTCAAGAATGGTCAACTTGGCAATGCTAGCCAAGTGCGGTTGGCGTCTGATGAAGGAGAAAGAGACTCTTTGGGCTCAATTGATGGTGCCAAAGTATGGGAAGAACATGGAGCACCTTGACATCATCAAACCAATAAAGGGAAGTTCCTTCACCTGGAACATCATCTCTAATACTGGAGATCTGCTGAAAAATGGTTGTGCCTGGAACATTCATAGAGGCAATCTAACCCAGTTTTGGTTTGATGTTTGGATCTCTCAGGTTCCTTTGATCGAGCTGACCACTGGCCTAGTCCTAGAGGAGGCGAAGGACGCCATTGTGGCAGATTATGTGGACGAGGAGTTTGAGAGCTTTCTCCCAGATACCGTGACTCAACAAATCACAGCCCATGCGGTGGATCCTTTAGCTGGGGGAGATGATGTTCTTTTCTGGCAAGCCACCTCAGATGGTTGTTTCTCAACGAAGAGTGCCTTTCAGCTCATGCAGCCTAGCGCCTCTAGCGAGACAGCCCAGGTATGGAAAGATGTTGTGGATTCCGATGGAACCTCCCCTGTTCTGTAACTTCTCCCCTCCCCCTGTTTTACTTCTGCTTCTGTGGCTGTAAAACCTCATGTATTGCAAAAAAAAAAAAAACTAAACTACTTTACACACTTAATTAATACCAATCCTAAACAATAACTCAAACATAATAAACATAAACATAATAAGGGAGAAGATAGGTTGCTAACTCCATAGTGGCTTAGCACTATACTAACTAACATATAAAATGTGCATTCCTATTTTAGATCTGATGGCTATAATTAGAGAAAGGGTATAATTGGAAAATAAGAGACAAAATTAAATGACAAAATTAATAATGATTTATGGAAAATCTGAAAATCGGATTTAACGGGATTACACAGGGACGGTTGATATTTTGGAAAATATTAATTAATGCCGATTTTTTTGGGAAAACTCCTAAATTTACTAATTCTCTCTCCCTTCACGTCTCTCTGCCTTGATTGGTATTTGGTAGTGATTTAATAGTAGTATTACTTGTTTTGGCGATATGCTGTAGTAGTTATTATTTTAGGTAGTAGTGTTTTATGCTGATGGTAGTGTTCAGAATCACTGGTAGTGTTTTGCAATGGTTGTTGTAGTAGTTGATTACTTATAGTAGCAATTTTAGAGACGGTAATAGTGTTTCCAATTATACACTATTGTAGTTGTTAATCATGATTGTAGTAGTGTTTTACGATAATGGTAGTAATTTTACAAAAGAAAATGCCAACATAATCAAATTACTATACATAGGCGTAGGGATTGCAGAATTATCCATGCCCATTGGGTTTTAAGTATCCAACCCATGTGGGTCAGTTCTGAAATCCAAGTCAACTTTAAATGGGTAAAGTCTAATGGGTCAACATCCATACCCATAATGTTGGGGGGTTAATTCCCAAAATAATGTTATTTTTTTATTACCACCAATATGGTGGTTTTAAATATAATGACACGGATATTGTGTTTTTGTGGGAAAACAGACGCGGGCTCGCAGGAGACTCATTTAAAAGCGGATCCAAAGTGGACTTATGTGAACCCGCAGCAGACTCATGCGAGTTCGCATAAGAGAAGAAGAACCGCTGCAGACTCACGCGGGTTCGCATAAAAGAAGATACCTCTTATCTTCTTCTCCACCCCGCCCCTTCGTCCGCAGCGACGCACCCCCTCCTCTCCCCAGAAACCCACCATCGCCCAACCTCCATCGCCGACCGCCACAAAACCGAACAATCCAACGCGGGCTCGTCCCGGACTCGTGCGGAAACGACCGAGAGTCACGCGGAAGCGCAGGAGTGAAGAGCGGCCGAACAAAACCAGATCTGGTCGTCGTGGTGGAGGTCGTTAGTATTATTACGTATGATGGTGGACTATTTATTTCATGTCATGTAGGATTATTATGTATGATGGTGGACTATTTATTTCATGTCATGTATGATTATTATGTATTATGGTGGACTATTTACACACTCGATCGTTCAAACCATAACAACATCGATCAATCCATTACATATACGTCGAAAAACAAT